CCTACCTGAAGGAGTCTGAGCCACCGGTAAGATGTGGTTATGAAGTCGTGCCTGATGGACACAATACTGTTAGGGGTTAGGGTTAAGGATTAGGGTCAGGGGTTAAAGTAAGGGGCTAAGGTTGGGGGGGTTGGGGTTAGGAGTTAGGGTTAGGGGTAAGGACAACTATTTATCAACCACTCAAAGTACAACCGCACATTCCCAATAGCTTTTCTTTTGCATGCAATTAATTGACCTCATCGCCTGTGCGTTCCCCGGTCCCACCTGTAAAAGGCCCTATTGCCACCGGTCCCGTATTACAGGCGGCTGGGGTTTGTTTACCTCAGGTGCGGCTACATTGCCACATCGGACCGAACCACCCAGGGATTGCCGTCGTTCTATTCGCAAACTTTATGTAGGGAAGAGGGGAGAGGGTGGAGGCTAATCGAAGGATTCTGAGGTGGAAAAGACGCCTGCACCGGTCAACGGCGCTTAGTGGGGAGTAGCGCCGTGTTAGGTACAAAGACGGGTCGAGAGGAGGTATCCCCGAATCCAACAATGTGCATATGGTAAGATCACGATCCATGTGCGTGAAAATGCCACGCAGACTCGTTACTGAGCCCTGAGTGACCGTACCACTGCAGTGTGAGTACTGCCCCACGAAACCCTTTGCGGCCCGTTCGCTGCCCGTTGCCGGGTGCAACACCGGTGGCTTTGGCATGCATTTATTTTTAGTTGAATAGACTTGCGAGGCATCTATCACACCCACTCCTCCCTTCGATAGAGACAGAGTATCAAGACAACCCGAACGTGGACGTGGGCGCAGTGACTAACAAAGTTTAAGCAGCGCGTCTACACACCACCCTGTCCCCAGTATATGTACCAGGCTCGGTTACTACGTGGGTGGGGGTCCCATGACAGCCACATTAGGGAGCCATTGCAGTCCGACTCTCAAGGACCGAGTTACCGCACCAGTGAACAGCCCTCCAGGCCACGACTCATAACGCGTCGTGATCAGAGAGCTTGTCTGATCCCTCTTCCACGCCCCAGTCGACTGTCTGAGCCTGGCAGCCAGTGCGTGATGGAGTTAGGTCCAGTGGCTGACGTGGCGCGGAAGTCTACGTTCAAGGCGTGCCACACCACAGGCAGTTGTCCTGGTCTCGCCGACTGCCCAATAGGAAACCGTGCCATGAATCGGCCTGCCCCCTCCTTCTGGTCAGGCTACTAGCAGCGCAGTTCATTATAGGGGGGCAAACGGGTGCACACCCGTGGGAGATGCACGCTACGTGCCTGCCTCGGTCTGCATCCATCTGAAGGCAGCTGATCGGAGGCAGGGTTGACTGCCGGGGACTAGGATTTGCCCTGATTATTGTAGTGTTCAGACTGCACGCACTTAAACCACATAACCACTACGAATTGGTGACAAACCCGACGTGATCGACGCGTAATCTCCAGTCAAGGCTGAACCCAAACCGTCACAGAAGCCCCACTCGACTTCGCCCTGCTGTTTTTCCTGTGCCACTCACCGTGCCCATGAATAGGAAAACACAGTTGCGCCGCCCTGTCGCGATTCGAGATGGATGTTGTCTACAAAGCTCAGCCATTCAAGTCTAGGTCAAACCCCAATCAAACTGTGCAGTCTGAGCACTACAATAATCCGGGCAAATCCTAGTGCTGTGGGGAGAGAGACAGGAGGCACCAAAATGAGGGGTTTATTGTGCACAGAACCCGGAGTCGTCCTCTCAGGCGGCAGTGGCCACTGGCGAAGCCAGGGCTGGTGTTGACTGCGTCCAGTCATGCCTTGGGGTCCCTGCGATAGTGGTTGTAGCCGCTTTTGTAGGCTCGTGGGCCAAGCTCAAGTGGTGTCCAGTCCGTGTGTGTTGCATTTGCCGAGGGGTGGTATACCAGTGGCTTAGGTTGCGGTTGCAGGTGGGGGGGGGGGGAGGTGCGTTCAAGTGGCCGCATGGGCGGCTGCGGCTGTGCGGACGCAGGTATGCCGAGCGGTTGGTCGTGTGACTTCAGGTCAGCGCGTCTGGAACGGCTCACTGCAAAAGGGTGGATGACCTTGAGGCAGCGAGGTCTTGGACAATGACGACAGATCGGTCATGATAACTGCCCGCTACAGACTTGAATGACTTCAAAGCCTCTGTTATGCTCATCTCCAGCGTCCTAGTCGATCTCTCTGTCCGCTAAACTAGTCACTCCCGTGCATTCTGATCCAAACGAACCAACATTAGCCCATGCGTTGGTGGAGCCGTGATAAGTCTCTTTCTGTATGCGTGTTTGGCCTTATGTGGACGGGGCCATTCATATTGGACCAATCAGCAGATAAGCTCCGAAAGTCCGCCGGTGTGTGCGGAAGAGGGGGGCGACTTTTTCTTGGGTTCATAAATGAAGCTATCTTCTGTTTAATAAACCAGGACATTAAAGGAAAGCAAGAAGAGATCGGAGGAAGAATGAACGAATCAACAAAACGCCGGTCGAGTAGCAGAAAGCGGTATTGAGGGCTGAGTCCAATACACTACTTCTCTACTTCTGTTTGAATGTGATTCAATGTGAGGAGACCAGAAAAGAACAGACAGTATCACTGCGATATCAGAGGACAATATTTAAGTGAGACAATGAAGTGAAAGGGACGAGGCCTAAAATCATCCGTACTATCAGTGGTCTGGAGGACTATTTCTGGGGAAAGGGCCGCTATTAGTCACTTTAACCGATCTGCCACTAACAGTACTTGAATTGTTCAATCGAAGTTTTAAAAGCACGCACAAAAGCAAGTGACCATCAGAGCATACTTTGGAAATGATATGTTTTGTGGCCGGGTTTACTTACTCGGGGGAGAAATTGGGCTAAAAGAAACTAACCGGCAATGTTTGTTTCGTACGTGCCAGAGAAAGAAATAAAAAGATCTAGGTGCTTTAAGGCAATTATCGAGTAAAAATATGACGATGTAATACTTTTTTGACAGTGCCTGCAAAAGGACATAAAATTCATTCACCTTTATCATTAATAGGCAAAAATGTTCTCCACTTTAAATAGGTGACAATGTGGTGAGTCGAATGTGTGATACCACAAAGTTCTTAGATGTTCAGCTCTTTTGCTCAATCCAAATGCTCCCCTGAGTAGAAACCCCGGCCATAAACCGTACCCTGGCCCATACTTCTCCAGAAATTGCGTCTCGTTCAAATAGGAATAAATACCCGAAGACCCAGAACACAGTCATAGTTTGGTTTTGTACTTGAAAACAGCAGAGCTTTGCCAGGCCCCAACTGCCAGAATATGCAGTGTAAAATGTAAACTCAATTTTACTAGGTTAGCAAAAGCCCTAATTTGATCCATGTTGAACAATAAGCACTGATTGCTTATATTTCCCGAGTAAACAGTCCTCCCTCAAGCGGACAGTGCCCCTTCGCCGTTCCTTCAGATTACGAAGATCGAGATGTAAAAAAAGGAGCCTACGTAGGCGAGTCCCCAGTGAAAACCACTGAACTTATTCCCCACTGATGTAGAGAGGAGTTGAACTGGTTACAATGTGAGCTTCACGACCTACCGCCAGGCATCAGAGTGATTATGCTGATGGTTACAGATATGACAACTTTGAACTCCTCTCTCTCTCTCTCTCTCTCTCTCTCTCTCCCTCTCCCTCTCTCTCTCTCTCTCTCTCTCTCTCTCTCTCTCAGATGGTTCATCCAGTCAATAAGAGTTTCTGTCGAAGATAATTAGCGCCTGAATGAGCATTCTTTCCTTACTAGTCATAATTGGTTAGTAAACCTCGCGACCCTAGGAGAGGTGCAGAAAAAATTAAACAGAACTGCCAACTCAAGACTGCATTACCTCTTACAATGAACCCAACATATTTACTGAGTACCTGCGCCCCTTGTGAGTTCGATAAAGCTCTAAGGCAGAACGGGACGCTCCAATCCCGTCCCGTAATCAGGTTAATCGATAAAGCCCCTTTTGGAGGTTACTTTGTAACACTTCAGACAATCATAGGCCTTCCACCAATGACACATTCGCTGCGACACCCGAGAGGCTGGAAAATGCGCACATGTAGCCTCCAGAACAGCCAATCGCACAGGCGCCCTGCCACTCCGCAATCACCCAACCAACTCACAAAGCTGACATTGGCTGGCTCTCAACTGACACTTATTCATTCCCGGCCACGCCATCCTGGTGGGGAAACATGCGTGCCCGCAGCCCCAGAGCCGGCCGCGCGTCGGGGACTCTGAACAATACTCAGCTTCTGTACAGAATACACCATTCCTACCGGTGTCTTCGCCTTCTCCTCCTCTAAAACGGGACTGACTCCTAACTATTATGGTGGTGGTGGTGGTGGTGGTGGTGGTGGTGGTGGTGGTGGTGGTGGTGGTGGTGGTGGTGGTGGTGGTGGTGGTGGTGGTGGTTGAAATCCAACCCACGGGACTGGCTCCTACCTATTGCGGTGGTTGAAATCCAACCAATATCCTATCCGCGGCAACTTCATGCAGTTACTAGGCCCCAGGGAAGACCAGTGTGATGCCAAAATTGCCTGTATACGCAAACCCCGTTCGAAACTTCAGCTGTGAAGACATAGTGTTCTGCTAGCACGAATGCGGACAGAAAAGGCTCCGCAACGCAGTAGCTTAAAAGGATACGTTTCTTTCTGACAGCCCTTCATACACACACAGACAGACAGTATGGTCAGGGCAATTTACGTAAATAGGACGAGATGACGGAGGAAAGATAGCGTGATGTGGGGTGAACATACTTAATATTTACCAGCCTACTGGTCGCATGGTACATAAACCTTAACCCCAACCAGACCGAAGGCTTTATTACTCCATCCATCGCAACACATTTGGACTGCAAGGAGGGCTGTTGCTGTCTGTGACCTAGACTTCACCATTCATTGGCGACCCGCAGAGAGCAGGGGGGGAGTCGAGCCGCAACCAGACGGAGAGCCGAGTAAAAGTTGGCTAGGACAGACGAGGAGCGGGAGGTGACAGAGCGGTGCGCGGGGGAGGGGAGGGGGGACCGCGCGATCACAGGGCAGGTCGTGCGTTGACGGTGAGTTTGGAGTACTCCTCAGGGTTCTGGAGAATGTTGTCTGCCTGGTCGAACATGGCTGAAATGTTCTCCACCTCGCTCAACCGGTCCCTGGAGATGCTTGGCAACTTGATATCCTCCTTAGGCTTGGCTTCTGGTGATTCTGTGGGTTTTTCCGGTGGTTTCTCAATTGGAGGCAGACTAGTCCGACCGGTCTCCTGAGTCCTCGGTGCTCTCATATAATGGGCCATTGCAGACCTTCTGAAATTAGAAGAAACGAATGGTGGAGTTTATTTACAGAAAGAATAGGACACTCGGGAAAGGGTGAACACGATAGCTGGAGTAAGCGGCTTTTTCATCAGAAGTTTCGGATTCACACCGAACCCATCACTAGAGAGAAGTAATTGGGGGAAACCGACTGGCGGGAAGGATGAAGTGCTAACAGGACAGCGTTGCTACGGAGCGGAGATTCCAAATTTCGACAAGCACTTCCGTACTCTAGGAGCTCCCTGAAGTCCTTGGCCATCCTTTTATGTCATTCGGGGTCGGGAACACACACAGAACAGCGGCAGCCATCCGATGCACGGTAGTAGAGCGGGAAAACTTACTGACACAACAAGACATGTGAACTTTCGTTTATAAGATCCAGTACGGTTTCGCTTAATGCAATTTATTTAAACCTATGGAAGTATGGACCTATTTCTTCACACGTGGATGGTGTGCAGAAAAATACTCCGGGCTCCTGCTGCAAGACTGCACCTCTCGCGCGTACTTGGCCAATCACCGCTGTGCAAACCGGCCAATCAACTTCAAGGCCGACTAGGTCGCCTTCGTTCAAGGCCTTCTGGCGCATGCCCTGCTACCCCGGTACGCTGGCTCTCATGGCGCCGGACGCGACACCTCGTCCGCCTACCAACTTCATCCAACCTGTCATTCAACAGTTCTGTAGAAAATACAATGCTGTTTGCTGGCTTTCAATCTCCCCACCCCCTTTTTTCCATTCGGGATCGGGCCTGAAGGTCGTAAGGTCTGTCTGTGACTTTGGCTGTCGCGACAGGTGACCATTCCTCACCAGAGAGAAGGGGTCCCACTAAATCACGAGTTTCGGTTAAGGGGACACCGCCTAGTCAAACCTTCAGGTTAGACGAGGCTGAAATGCTCACAAGAAGCTGTAATTGTGTCAGCCACGAGCTGTTTGAGTCATGATTTGCTGGTTCAGAATCAGTCAACAAACACCAAGACCTCGCACACCCCACCCCTGGGATTATGGCTCTGCTAGCCAAGGTGATCAAATACATGGGTATGCGGATAAATCGGAAGTATGGTGCGTGAGTACGTCGAAGAGTTGTACTGAGGAATAGGACTGCAAAGCCGTACTCACGCTAATTATCAAATCCGGTCAATCTATCGGACAGGGCTGTCTAAACATGTATCGCATCAGTTATGCAAGGTCGATGACCGGTAATTTTTCAACATTCTGAATATATTCTGGATTCCAATCTCTTTTGGTTTATGGTCTGACACAGGCTGGGGCGGTAAAATGAGTCCCACCGCTGAGATGACAATGGTCGCGAAACTGAAACAAGGTAAGGGGTTCGTGAAGTGGATCGCAAAATGCAAACTGCCTGCGGAATTATTACCGACTCGATAGACAAATGCCTGTCTACAAAAGTTTCTAGTGAATTAACCCTCAGAATCAGTAATCTATACAAAGGGGTTCCGTGGAAAGTTGGGAAATTTTGACCCTCACAAATGTTGGCAGCTTGACAACAGGTAAATGGGATAAAGGTAAAAATCAGGTATTTGAAAGACAATCCTAAAAAAGCTTCTCAGTCGCCGATCATCAGTGCGTGAAATGTAAACTGAAGCCGACCGATTTAGAGCGATTGCCTTCCCCATCGGAATCTCACACGAACTCGAACCTCTCCCTACTTACCAGCCCCAGGACGCCTGACACATGCAACTTAAGTGTCTGTGTTAAGCGTATCTGATTTTCATAAATTAACTGCCATATAACCCCGCTAAGTACGGTCCAGGTAATGAAGAACCCCTCAGACGCAGCCTGACTGCGCACTGCGCCTTTGTGTCAGTTGAAATACTGTGCTGACAGACACATTCACCTCGATGGCGTAGAATTATGCGGAACCGATATCTATTTGCTACTTCCAAAGCGTTGCTCGTTGCCAGCAGACGAGAAATTCAGTCCTAGCGATACATACTCGAGGGATATAGGCATGTTTCTGACGTTGAGGATTCAAAGATGCAAAGTGATCTTGCTTTCTGGTTCAAAGAGGGATGTAGTCAATACATTCGCCTCCTCCTTGGCGGCCGCATATTACATAATCGCCTACTTTGGGAGTACGAAAATTAATAAGAACAGGAGGGTGGTAATTCCTTTGGAGTTGCTGCTATTGATACTGTCCACGTTATTCTGTGGGTAGTCAGCAAAAGTGGTAATTTAAAATATGGCTACTGATGCGGGGTAACTAGTAAATTTGTATAGAATTTACAATTCAATTGATTTTTTTAAAATTTCACATTCCACATTTACTCTACACAAATTCTTCGTTAAGACCTCGATGCTCGACCTCTAACACTCGCATACCGGGTACCCTGGCCCCCAGTATAACGCCTCCCAGCGACCACCAGATAGTTGTGGGATTAACCGACGACGGCATCGGGAGCTTGAGTGAGGCGTAGAAGTCGTAACTAAAGGCTTATTACGTGTTCGACCCTGCAACTATGAGATGAGCCTTCAGGGGTTATATACACCAGCTCAGGTCCAAATATAGCCAACAATTCAAGGGGCAGAAAAAAGTTTCTGTCTGGAAGTGCCGACCGACTAAGTCATTCCGTGTATGAAAAAGCGGTCGACAAAATAGGTCTCAGAACTATTCCCTTCGTGTCCACCCTGTATGCAAGCGCATTTGCTTTGCCACGCATCACGACTGGACTTGCCGGCCCGATGTTGTATGCTGACCCATCGCAGAGTTTCGTCTTCCCTTGAAGCCGATCGGTAGCTGACTCCTGAGCGAAGTTGAACCCATTCTCGCAGGAGCCCCACGGAACGCGCGCCACGGCATAGGAGGCACCTGAGCTCAGTTTTCACAGCGAAAATTCACGCCACAGTTGACGATCTTGACGCATTAGCCGGTCAGAATCAAACTCGGGTGAGATTATTTCCTTAAAAAAATCACCTGCTTGTCGACGCGACGCATGACGGAATCACTGCACACGGTGAGTGCAAATGGCGCAGCCGTAGGTTTCGTTCCTAACCGGCTAAAGGACCGATCGATGGAGATGCCAGTTGACAGATTACTTTCCATAGTAAGCGAAATGCACTAAAAAGTGATGGATATCCTCCACTTTCACAGGACAGGCAAGCAAGACATGTCTGAATTTTCTACTCTCTAGTATCCAAAACTCGCCCATGCAACTCGAGTACATTTGGTTAGGACTGGATTTCTTGTCCTCCAGGCACGAGCAATGACTTCAAGGGTGCTCATAGCTTCTACCAACTCTCTTGAGCCACGACATCGCCCCACCGAGTCCATGATCACGTGGTTGTCAGCGGGCTGTTGAACTGACAATTACAACTACGATGAAGTCTAACGCCCCCGAGGGGTACCGCATCAGAGGGAAGTTACTTGGCGTGCACTCATGGGGGAGTTGCAGCAGTCAAGTGACCTATGGTGGTAACGACGGAGACGTGGATGATGGTGACGAGGACGACGGCGACGACGACGGTGATGATGATTTTGTTGCTGACGATGATGATGGTGATGATGATGATGATGATGATGATGGTGGTGGTGGTGGTGGTGGTGGTGGTGGTGGTGGTGGTGGTGGTCGTCGTCGTCGTCGTCGTCGTCGTCGTGGCCGTGTTAGTCGCGTTAATGCTTCTGCCGCTGCTGGCGCCAGTTGTGATATGGTCTTCAAGAGTTCTCCTTAATTACTCCAAATGCTCCCTTTTTATGGCATTCAACGAATCCTTACTGGACACGAACAGAGTAATGCAGTGAGGAATTATGAGTCATGCTCTAGCGAACTTACTCTGTCGAACGACTGGCGCTCGAAAGTCGCGGAAGTTTCTCCGTTTGTTTCGACTGTGGTAACCAGGGCTTCTGATCACAGATCTCCGGCAACCGCATAGCATTAAAGAGCTCATCCACCACGTAACGGCCTTTCTTTTTGGCTTTGGCATCGCGAACAACCTCCTCCTGCATGCGTTCTGCACACAGCTTGTCCTCCTCCTCATCCATTTCCTTCTGTACAATGCCTCGAAGCCATTGTGCATAGACAGGATCGTTCAGGAGGATGACGCTATTCCCTAGCCGACATTTCAGTCGTCGATCTTGTGCCAGGGCTGCTGACTGATCAATCAGGTGACAAGCCATGGGATCAATTCGAAAAGGCGTAGACGAGGATCCCCGATAATACGCCTCCAATTCTGGTAGTTCACTAAATGTTTCCGTTGATGTGACAGGCTCTGCCATTATGGAGTGCTTGGCTCCACGTTTTGTTGCCGTCCCCGCAGCAGGATGTGTTAGCTCCGCACTGGGAGTAGGAGAATGCTGACCGTCCCAGGCCAGCTTGCGGTAGTTGTCACATGGCAGGGGGTTAGTAGCGATCTTCTCGTCAAATTCCCTAACCTGTTCAGGCGTGTAGACGTCTAAATCCGCAGCAATGTTGATTGTGCCTCTTGTCTTTAGCCGTTCTGTGAGTCCGTCGATGGAGGGGAAGAGGGCACTGAAGTTGCGCGTCTCGTCTGTGGGAACGTAGTCAGTGTGACCGAATGGTGTGTCATGTTCTATTTTATTTAGATTTTGACTCATACTGTGGAGGCTTAGTGCGGCGTGAGTAGAAGGCGCCACCCCCCGTCACATGCGTATGTGTTACGGGTGCTGTAACGTTCGAATCGATCGATAGGTGCCACGTGTTCAATCATGCCCGCGATTCAAACATAATCCAGTTTTTATCCATTGTGCTGTAGTACTCGAGTTACCTGACGGCTTAGTCTCGTCTGGATTGAGGTCCTTAGAAGGTGAGTGACGCTGTTCGTCTATAGAGGTCATGGTAGACATATTCATATCGACTCTTCCTTGCATGGGGGCCTTGAACGTTCGATCACACTGGTTTCAACAGACAATATCAGAACTGGACTGCCAACAACAGAACTTTTATTAAACCGGGAGTTGGGAGAGGGATTAATCGTGGTTTGTGGGCCAAGGAGTAAAGGGGGGAAGACAATGGAGTGGGGAAACCAGAAGATGCGCGCAAGCCTTCCTCCGAGTTATCCTTCCTCCAGTCTGTGCGTCGGCACGCGTGGTTCCACCGTCTGCGCGTCCGCTTGGACCGGGTTCTAATCCCAGATCAAGCCAGTTTGGTGTTGCGTATGGCTGGCTGACGACGGTTAATAAGACAGCAATGGCCATCCCAGTCAGTACTCCTTTTCACATACATCTCTGATCGCCACGCGACCACCCTGGGGCTCACTGGAGGAGTGTGCCCCGCTAATTTATTCGTTGAACTTATTTTATCGTATTTTTCTCCAAGATAAATCACCTCACTTGGTCTGTGCGCTTAAAAAACCTTTATATCAAACTTCGTCAACTGGCCGACTACTATCTGGTTCCTTTGGGTTCCCTAACTATCAAGCTTGTAAAAAGTAGAAGTATGCCATGAGGTCCTCATTGCAAACTCATATAAGAGTGGCGTTTATCGAAGCTCCTGACTGCTGGAGGGAAATGCGTATTTCCCTCATTATCCTGAAGCCCCGGGTGTACAGTCATCTGTAAACGATTAAATGTTCAGAAGTGTCACTAGCGAAAATTAGGAACACTGACTCCTTTACCGCCATCAGCCAGTGGTACCCTAAACCTTGTTGGCAATAGTTCCAAACGCGTAGTTTGTCTTCTCTGCACGACAGCCTGTATAGGCTCTGGACCCGAAACTCCAAGGCAAAAAGGGAACTCTCATTTCCGTTCCTAAGTCAGAACGGATACCTGAACACCCCTCTCGTACGACTTGGTAGACTGGGTAATGACTGAATTATATAGGACGTAGGACTTAAATGTTTACCCGGATTCAACTCTTAGGTGTCTGTTAACAGTCAGAAAGCTAGAAATCTGTGTATTTCGGCGACTCTAATGTATATGTATAACAGCGTGCTGCTCGGAAAATACAATGACCATGAAGACGACAATGTGCGCTTCTCAACTGATTCACCCAAAATCACAAATAGGGCTTTTCAGAAGAGTATTTGGCGAGCCTACGCGTGCTTTCGATAAATTCTCATCGGGCTTGTACATTTATGTGGGAATGAGGTACAAACTGAACATGAGAGTGATAAGTGCAATCGATTATGGATCGTACTTTCCTACAAACGGGGTATGTGAATAGAGTGGGGAAGGGGGAGGGAGGGGAGAGGAGAGGATGCAGTCAGTGACAGTGAGGGTTAGGTTGAGCCGAGTCACAATGGGGGGAGGGAAGGAGAGGGGGACGCGGAGACCTGCATACAGTTAATCGATCCTGGCCCACGGTAGACGCAGAGCGTGCAAGAAGTTCTTCTGCGCGCATAGGACCGGCCTCTGTAGCTTGATGGCAGTTGCCTCTGTAGCTTGATGGCAGTTGCCTCTGCTGTTTCTAATATGCGCTGACTCAGTCGCTTGGGGTAGTTAGGTGAGACCTTGTAAATCACACGGAAGGCTTCGGTTGTTTGTTTTGTTTTCGGCTGCTGCGTTCATTAGAATACCCAGGGGCTCAGCGAAGTGCAAGAGAGCGACGCGGAAACCAAACGTGTGATTACTGGCATGACTGGACACTGCAACACTCCGATCAACAGAAATGCGGCATAGGCACCTCCGTGTGCGTCAGCTTTCGCTCCTAGAGAGACCAGTCGCTCTGAGATAGAACGCGGCATACGCATGATAACAGCTCGTCATGTCAGCTGACTTCCCTCTTCTCTGACTTCTTCGTTTGGCGTTGGGTTCTTAGGCGTACGGATGCAGCGCTGGCGTACCAGCGCGTCCGACCAATCAGAAGTGTTCAATTATTTGTAAAGAATCCAATGGACTCCAGAAGCTGACGCTGGCACTGGCTCTCGGGGAGCACATAATGCTATAATTTGACCCTCAATTCTGATGATGTCCACCATGTGCCCCACAGCATGATAGGAGCAGGGACGATGACCTGCGTGGGGATTATTCTATAGTGATAGTAGACTTGTACTGCATCCATCGCACTCTCTCATCCCTCACCCACCCGGTTCCCGTGTCTAGACAGAGTTAGGAAGGTCGGAGAAGGGATCGGGTGAAGGTGGCTGGCGTGGCGCAGACCCGTACCTAGGCGTCCCACTACAGCCCCTGATCAGCACATAAGGGACCAGAATTGTACACAAAAAGGGAAGGGGAAGGGCGACTTGGATCCAAAATGGGTGAGTGTCATGAAGGCCACATTAAGGGGGAGCCATTACACTGTTACACTCCGTCCTCCGAATTATCCCGTAAATCGGCAGCTATCAAAGCCACAGTTTTAAGTGCGGCACGATACATTGAAGCGCGTCAGACTGTTTATGGCGGAAGAATATGCGCGGAGACAGTCAACCTCACTCCTTCTCCCCGCTTGCTCACTGTCTGAGCCGGTCAGTGGCCGACAGAGTTAGACAGCTCGTCTGCGCGCACCACACACACACACACACACACGACATGCCCCCCCCCAGGATTTCGCACAAAGGGGGTTGACTGTTCAGACTTCACATATCGCGCGGGAGTCACATGGAGGAGCTGATAAACACGCTTCTCACTTACGTGGGCGGTGACTAGTTCGTGCCTGCGGTGTGCAATATCGGACGTTCTCATGTGTGGTGCTTGCGTTGATGGGGAAATGTGTGGTGGTGTAAAGTAGTCCGCACTGGTTTGTCGCAAGTTTTCATGGAGGCGCACTTGACCGAGTAGACACGTACGGTGAATGAGTGTGTGTTGACAGTGCTGACAGTGAAGGCAGGTGTGGTGAGCGTATGCCGGGGCTCCCGATGCTGGTGCGCCATTTACTGGACGATGGATCAGCAACTGACTGACCAAGCCGATATGTGAGGTACATATGCGATCGCTGTGAGGAAAGGCTGGGATTGTGTCCGTATTGCTGGAGACTAGGGTGGTGGTGGTGGTGATGGTGGTGGTGGTGGTGGTGGTGGTGGTGGTGGTGGTGGTGGCTGACGGGCGTCTGGGGTGTCCTCATTGATGGTGGGAGTGGGAGAGGTGGTAGTCGTCGTCGCCGCCGCCGCTGGAGTCTAGGCAGGAATGATGGGAGTGGCGGCGACTAACGGCGGCGGGGCATCAGAAACGTGATCATCGATGGTGAGGACAGTCGTCGTCGTCATAAACGCCGTGGGGGTTGAGGCAGGGGTGACGATGGGGACGTTTTTAGAGGTAGCAAACGGAGTTGTCGGGTTGTAACTGCATTAGTTCCGGAGATGTGCGACAAGGTTGATCTGTGCACGGAATGTTCGCCCGCAATGGGGGTATGCTTGAAGTGCTTGGATGCCGACGTTGTGGATCGGAGACGCTTGGGGATTACGAGCCGCTCTCTTGGCGTCGGCAGAGGCGATCAGGCTGACTTCGTAGACTGCTACTCCGTCTTCACAGCTCTTCTCCAGGTCGGTCTAGCCTGAACGAGGACCTCTTAGGTCTGCGGGTTAATTTGTAGGCCTTTGAGAGAGAGAGTTCTTCAAGGTGTCCCTATAGCGTCTGTTTTGTCCTCCTGATCGTCACGCCCTCGTGGCGACGTCGCCGTAGAAGACTCACTTGGGCAAGTGCTCCTCATCCATACTTGCGAGGTGGCCGTTCCAGTGCAACTGGATTTTCATCAGCAGGGCATGAATGCTGATGACTCCCATTCTCGCCTCGCTTTTAAACCGCCTACGGACTACGTAAAAGGCGGTTTTCAATGAGAGATTGTACTCAACAATTGCCAAATCTAGCGAACCAATTAGGACGCTGAGCTTCCCAGAAGATACAGTAAGGAAAACTTTTGAGAAGCTGCAGTCCAATAGAAGCGAAGAGCCGAGTCCCAGGAAGTAGGCTTGAAGAAGGAGACACGATCGCCGGGACAAGAGCTTTATTAGCCTGACGTTTCGGATTCCTACTCGAATCCATCATCAGAGACAAAAGAGCAGAAACGGGTGGTTGTTGCACAAGGGGCTGCGGTATTTATAGGATGCAGTAGCCATGCTGCCGCATACCTATGAACGTTCACGGCTTCCCCTTCATCCGAGATTGTCGCACTTGGTGTGATCATTGCTTGATGGCCGACATTCGAGTCGATAATTGCTGCAATTTCATCACGTGCGTTGGATGTTGCGTGATGATTGCTCAACCATCTGATGCGTTGACCCGGGTGTTGGGAAGAGTGTTCACCTCTGCGCTCCCCACATGGCTTGTTACCCCGCCTAGGCGAAGTTTCAGTACGGAGTATGGAATGGGAAGATCGTTGCACTTGTTGATGGACTGGGGGCCAGTAAACCATGATTCCAGTAGCTCTCGGCTCACTCGGTTGTCACCTCTTGCGAGAATTTCGGCCTCATCGAATTTAAATGTGTGGCCGGGTCTCGTCGAATGAGCCGCAACTTGAGAGCTGGCGTCATTTCTGCGCACCGCTGCCGCGTGTTCGGCCATTCTCGTTCGGAGCTGTCTTCCGGTTTCTCCGACGTAGTTGCTTTGTCCGCAACTGCACCAGATCCGATAAACGACTCCAGACGTTTCTAGCCGTGGCAGTGGGCCTTTCGGTTTCATGATCAGACGCCTGATGGTTGCCTCCGGTCTGTGTGCAGGCAACATAAGTCTATATATAAGGGGGGAGAGATAATTTTCCCAAATAGCCTCAAACTAGTGAGTCTCACAAGTGACATCTTGGAGAAGAAACTTGACCGGTATGCAAAACATGGATCTACAAGTGATTGATCCTGCCCTACTAACCTGCTAATATTTGTGGAAAACTGGACAAAATCACTTGATAGCAGCGTATATTAACACCAGAGGGTCTTTGGCAGTGTTCCACACAGACGACTGATATTTAAGCTACGTCGAATAAGCGTGGATGGAAGTCTATTGAAATGACTGACCGACTTTCTCACGGGCAGATTTCAGCGTTTTTGTATTGGTAATGCTAGATCGGAGGAGGCAATCATTCATAGTGGCGTTCCGTACTGGAGGGGTCTTGGTCACATTCTATTTTTAATATAAGTGGATGACTACCCGAATCGCAGGAAGTGCGAGCGGGTAATGTTTGCTGATGATCTCGAGTTGGGACAAAAAAGGCTGAAGCCGCGAATTTTTTGGATTTTAGATGCTTACAGTGTATTCCAAGCATTTAACCGCTGCAAAAACTGCAGTGCTAACATCCTACTCACAACGCTCCTTATAGTGTCATGTAATTTTATCGACTCATAACTTCCATTCTAAGGTTTTTGTGCGGTTCTCCACTAATCTCGAATTTTCAAAAGGCGGAACATCTGTGGATCGAAAGATATGTACGTAGAAGTCAGTCTGGGAAAAAGAGTTACAGCAAACAAACAAGGCAAAAATTGTGCTTAAAATGTATTAAACAAGCCGAATTTATTCAATTCTGTCTTTCTTTTCAACAAACACACGGTTTACTCACTCCACTAATAAATTTCCAGATTTCTTTGGTTTACGAGCTCCTTTTATTAGCTTCACGAGTGAAAGTCAACTGAAAGAAACTGGAAAGAACCAATACTTGGGACTTTAGCACCGGAATCAGGTCACCGTGTGTGTGATTAAATTATCAGTTTCCCTACTCCAGGATCAAGCACATCATACGCTACTGTGCGGCTGCTCGTTGGGCTCGAGAGAGAGAGAGCCCTAAGGCATAACGGGACGAATGAGTTCCGTAAAAAGGCAGTCGGTGAGCGCCCCTCTACCGCTGTATATTCCCAATCGCAACCGACAGAATAAAGAGGCCGCGGCTCAGTGGTCATAGGCGTTGGACTTCTAACCGATCTGTCGCGGTCGTCCCACACTTCGGAGTATGACTAGCTGATGACGGCCAATGAGCCAGAAATAGCCATCCCAGTCTCCCTTGTCTTCGTCTGTAATGCTATTCTGCATTCTTCGTAAACTTTTCGGTAGAGGCTGGCCACCTTCGCCACTGTAATTCCTAGGCATGCTCGAAGGCTACGGTTATGACAAAGTTACTTCTACACTATCTATCGAAGCTGGCGATATCTTTTTTTTCTAGAGAAATATTGTTCCACCTTTGACTTTTGATCGGCCATTTCTTAGAAACCATAGGTCTCGCGCCCGGGCTGGCCCTTTAGCTTTAACATGAGCTTTTGCATTGCAAAAATCGATGAACTTTTGAACCTTCTTGTCGCAATTTCGTTTCTTTTGAAGAGATAAATACTATCATCGAGACCCTTTTTCTCCCTGTGCAGTTTCGTCGTGAACCATGCAGGCTGTCTAACCGTCTCCATATTCCAAATGAATTTCGTCTCTACATCACATTATGCTGTACGCATGAGTGGGTTGGGAGTCAGTTTGAATAAAAACGGCTTGCTGATGAGGTTGCGTTCGCGGAAACCCTGTGGTCAGATGTTGCGATGCTTTTACCCTGCACAATGAGCAATCACATTAAAACCAAATATGCCATCTGTCTCGATGTCCTCTGAAAGCTGAACACCCATGCAGTGTGGATCGTGTGGACGAATCTCTTCTTCACTTAGAAACTATGTTCTTCGGGTAGGCAAAAAATTTTTGAGTTAGATATCCTTTTTCCTTATTTCTTGTACACATCGTGTTATAATTCCCAGTGTTCCCGCAGTTTGCACGACTCGCTCTTGCCCTGCTATTTGGCAGACATTTCACATACGCTAAGGATTTCAAAGTGGACAGTCGATGCAAGCTGGCAGGTTGTGGCAATGCGCATGACCACTGAAGAACTTACCTCCGGGCCTTTGTCCGATGACGCTGCACGTAGCACCTTCCCCATGAATGGCATAAATGCTTAGTTGCAGTCCCTAGCATTGGCCATCAACTTCAGTCTAGCACTGATGTTTCGGACATGACTTTGCCCGGAGTTATTGGGGCTCGGGGTGCATTTTACTCCGGGTCCCTTAGTCTCACGGAGGGCTGCGTCTTGATTGCTTCTAAATGACTAGGTTTCTCCTTCGGAATTTTTGAAGTACAGTTCGCCTCTAAAATGCATTGATTTAATCTTTGTTTAGTCTCCTACGTCCTAGTGGGGGAATAAAAACTGAATCCGTTTAAAATTTTTAAACAAAAAATACGTCACTGGAATATCGAAATTCGGTCTACAAGGAACGCAACACAGTCACAGAACTTGGTCTTTCGTGGTTTCAAAGGTTAAAACGAGGCCGTTTCCAAATTTTATTATTTAAACTGTACGCCTTTTGATCCGCTGACCAGCTCTTATTATAATTATGGTTTTGAGGGTTACCCATGTATGCAAATGAAAAAGGTAAGATGTGGTTATGTAACCGCCCCTGATGGAAACAATACTGTTGACCTACTTAATTATTCTGAGTTGGTGTGATTACGTTGGCATGGTGTTGCTGTGCGTTGCAGTGTGTGTTCTATTGGCGGCCTTGTTTCTTTTTTGCCGTGTCTTAATTGTTTCGGCCCAATGCCGATGGTCCTTCTTGGTTTTCGGCCTGTCGTCTCCTTATAACTTTCGCACTGGATATTTCAGGGCTAGGGTGTAGGGCTGCAGTTAAGGGTTAGAGTTAGGGGTTATGGTTAGTGGGTTAGGGCTAGGAAGTAGTTGCACGGCTTCAAGAGGCGATTACCATCCCAGAACTCCATCTACTCAGGTATCATATTTTCCCCTTGAGCATCTAGATTCCAAACAGAGAAGTTAACTCGATGTATAGCTTAAACTATACATTTGTTTTGCCAGCGGCACGCTCATTTTCCAGCCCTCCCTGAGGCCACCCTCGTCACCTGCCAGCACGATCAAGCCCTCCTCGGCACCTCTCCAGTGCACGACTTGTTAGTATATCTTAGTATATACCCTGCCAGCACATGGCCCCGTCATAGGCGGGGCTGGGAAGGGCCGGGTGGGGCCAGAGCCCCCTCTGGATTGAAGCATTCTGAAGCGTGTTTGCATCGAAAGTTATGTTTCAAAAACACCACTCATTGTACCTTCTTGGGCAATAAAAGGAGCTAATTTATCAAAAGTGGCTTATAAATCATGGAAAAAGCATTCGTTTACGCCCACGTGTCGCGGATAATATCGTGCGTCAATCAATGCTGTTTTCATGCTTTTACTAACTGTCTTGGTTAATTTATGTATCTTATGCTAATTGTTTGGGTATTTGCTCACAAACCAGTTCAAGTAGTCGACTTGTATGTCTATGTATGTACTATTTAGCCTTGGTGTTCGCAGTCCACTTATACAAATTGTTTATTGCTTTTTACTGAATATCCAAAGCAATTATGAAGCGTAATTACTGTGGCTATCACCGAATCATCATATACAAACGCATTAAGCGCCACATGAAGGCATATTATAAGGCCACTGAAGAGCCTGAGTCTGAGGTTCACTCAACGTCGACAGCAGTTGGCAATCAATCCCCTGAACGAGAAATGCTTATTCTGAGCTCTGAAACTTCTGCCGGCAGGTATTATGTGTGTGTGCGCCTCAGGTGACTCACCATACAGGTCGATATTTTAAAGGAGTGCCAAAAGTGGGTGGAAATCTGGCGTCCCCTGCGCATTTTTCGTTGGTGGGGCCAGGCGGGGCTGTCGTGTTGAATTTCTCGCCACAGCCCCTTCATAGCCCCCTCTAGCCCCGCAATATTTGAGGGGGTTACGCGGGGCTGGTGCTGACAGGGTTAATTATGGGTTGATCAGGCCCAAAGGCTAGGTGGTCCCCCCACCAAATGGCCATTTTGCGCTAATAAACTTAATCTTCTGCTGTTCCCGCGTACCTGTGAATTTTATTTCGCTGGTGGGGCCAGGCGGGGCTGTCGTGTTGAATGCCCCGCCACAGCCCCTTCCACAGCCCCGCCTAGCCCCTTCATAGCCCCGCCTAGCCCCGCCGTTTTTGATGGGGCTAGGCGGGGCTAGGAGGGGCTGGTGCTGACAGGGTATAAAGGCGATGCCAAGAACCTTTGGCAAACCTACTTAATGATAGACGGTTGAAAAACATCTACACATTTCCTAAGTAGTCATGTTAGTCGTGGATATCGAGTTAATATACGGTCATCGAGTATAAATTTGTCAAGTACCCTATTGAAGTCTCAGTGCTTTTCGTCAGGACAGGGGAATTTGACAGTTTGTTCCATCTCTTAACCATCCGATGGGAGAAGAATTTAATCCGCATTCTAAGTCTGACATAGTTTGTCTTCAATTTATATTGGTAGCCTCAAAGAGTGGCTGCTCGTGTCAGTTCAAAAACGTCACCAAACGTCTCCTGACGATTCTAGAGACCATGATCATATCTCCTCTGTATTGTCTATGAGTGAGAGTGTGTGTGTATTTTGAGCCTTTTCAGCCATCTCCCGTAAGGCCAACACCTTAATCCGCAGCATAGTTTAATTACGTTTCGTTGTACGTTCTCCAAAAGGTTATAATCTTGGTTGGTCCAGGGATGCTACTTCTGAATACAGTACTCCAATATTGTCCAAACAAATACC